GTCATCATCGCTTAAAGCGAAAACACCTACAAACGACCGCAGTATGTCTTTTAATCGTTGCTTATCCGAATCCCGGATTCTTCGACGAACCCAACGCATTCGTGCCCAAGTCCAAGTCTTCGTCTCCATTACATCATTCTCGTTTAACCAACTAATCATCGGAACTACGCTTCCCGATATCATCGTCGTGTTCTCAGACGAGTCGCGAGCAGAGCTTAGGTTCGTTTGAATAATTCTGTCACTTAAGTAGCTATCGCCCCGCTTCTGTTGTAATTTTCGAATAGCGGCTGCCGTAACAAGGTTAACCATTGCTCCAGTGTCCAGAAGTGCGGACATCTTTACTCCTTCACAGTGAACCGATGCAGCCATTCGTCCTCCTACCATTCTGTCGATTTGCTCAGGGAATTCTGGCTCCGACATCTTATTCAGTCTAAGCTTTATTAGTCCATCAAGTTTTCCAGAACTCTTTACGCTTACCTCTTCCACAGTACGGAAGGACAAACTCCAGCGACATGATCCTTCCCTTTACACATTGCGCAAATTGTCGAATTCCTTTCTCACTTGTGATCCATGTGTGGCACGCCACTGCGTGCATTTCTAATATTATTTGCTCCGGCTGTTTCAGCTACACTTCATTTATTTCTTCTGTCTTCCTTCCTTTTGGTTGGCAGAACGAAGTGCTTGCTATCACTATTGTTTTCTAGCCTATTTGGCCAAAAGCTGCCTTGGTCTGCACTTCCACCCTACTTATACTGCACTCAGTATTGCATCGTCGAATTAGATGTCCAGTTAGACGTCCAATTAGATGTCCGGTGTTCCGGCACATTGTATTTTTCCCCTGCGTCTTTCATACTATTGAAGACTCGCTCATAATCGAGCGCTGATTCTCTTAGGACAAGGTACATTTCGCCAGACGGAGACGGGGAGAGGGGGAGGGGGAATTTAATGCTGTAAATATGCGAGCTGTAAGTTCCGCATTTCTACTCAGCGCTTGCATGGCTAACCCACACTTTCTCTCATCCAGAAATTTGGGGTCAGTATAAATGGTTGATGGGTAGGCAGTGGCAATCTTACGATCCAAATAGGCAAAAAATTCCAGTAATGGTTGTCCCTCATTCCATTTTATGGTAGCTAATTCATTTTGGAAGCGTATGCGAGTGATTTTAAAACGACCTACTAAAACCTTTCGCAATTTTTCCACCACTTCATCAAAAGTACCTCTTTTCCTAATGTCCTCCGCAATACTTAGGAACGCATTAAACGTCAAGTCTGCTAGATGGGCTTTAAGATATTTAATTTTTCTGTGGTCATTCTCATGGCCGAACGCAGGACAACAAAATCCTGGAAGGATGAAGTTCCTTTCTCATGTCTACCCGTGAATTTTTTTAGTTGCGGCAATCGGCACTGCATACGCTTGGCATAGTGTAACATTATATCAATCGCATGTAACTCCGTACCATTTTTCGATAAAGGACTTAGGCGGACGCTCGTACACTTCTCCGAAACACTGGCTTCTTTGTTTGCCGTTCTCACCTCCATTCAACCACGTTTGCACTCGTTCCGAACCAACGCTCATGACGACGAATTGGTTCTTTCTCCATTTTGTTGCTCGGTTATTAAGCAAAAGTCGGCTCAGTCCTCATGTTAGGTCCTTGTGTTCGACTTTAGCTTGCTCTTGCGGACAACAAAATCAGCTGCAGTTTATTATGCGTTTTTGCCGTGCAGCGCTAGAGCGCTGCAACAGGCAGCAAAAACGCATATT